CCCATGTCCAGACATAATCGAAAAGGATGCAGACAAAACACTGGAACTGTTTTTTTTCATATCAGAGCACAAAATCCTCCAGGGCAACTAAGCCCGCTATTCTAAATTTGGCACGGGGTATGGGCTGATGATTCACAGGAAGACACACAAGCAATTCTGTCTCGAAAGCCTGTGGAGTAAATCCCCTTTCATCCTCGGTTATAAAGAGCTTGACTTTTTTTTTTCCTTGCTCTTCTAAAACCAATCTGTCGCTAATTATATGGATTTAAAGTGCTCCTCTGGGGGATGAGATAGGCCGGAGGGGCAACACCAGGTTCCCCGGTAGCAACAGTCTGAATTATGTATTTTCTTGAAAGAACGCTTACTGCACGGTTCAAAAACATGAGGGTGATTTTGTACATTTACTATACAGGTAGTCCTCGACTTACAACAATTCATTTAGTGACCGTTCAAAGTTACAACGGCACTGAAAAAAGCACCTCATGACCGTTTTTCACTGTTATCACTTTTGCCTCACGCTCATGTGGTCAAAATTTAGATGCTTGGCAACTGGTTCATATTTATGACTAGCTGGAGGCCGGTGCTTCGCTACGAAACTCAGCCGCCCTGAGTCTCTGGAGAAAGGTGGCGTATAAATTGGACTAAATAAATGTGATCGGGCGTGATAAATTGACACTTACAGCCTGAAACTTAATGTAGAATGTGTAACTCCGTAGCATCAGAGCATGTTAATATATAGGCAACTGGCAGTTGGAACAGAGTTCTTTTCAGGTGGGGAGGGGGAGTAGAACGTCTAACTCCTTAGCATCAGAGTGTGTGAATATAATACTGTATGTGAAATACTAATGATCTGATGGTCATTTCGAAAAATCCTTTCTTAGCGAGCACCTAGAAGCCAAGAGGAACACACGTGCCAAATTGCAAGTTTGTAGGCTTTACCATTCTGGAGATTTCGTAATGAGCGAGTGGTATTTGGCTTTTATATATATAGATTTATTTATGACCGTTGCTGTGTCCCAAGGTCATGTGATCACTTTTCTGACCTTCTGACAAGCAAAGCCAAATGGGGAAACCAGATTCACTTAACAACCGGGTTGCTAACTTTATCAACTGTGGCGATTCACTTAACAACGGTGGCAAGAAAGGTCGTAAAATGGGACAAAACTCACTTAACAAATGTCTCGCTTAGCAACAGAAATTTTGGGCCCCATTGTGGTCGTAAGTCAAGGACTAACTGTATTTCATTTGGAAAAAAATCCATCCCACTCTCCCTCCCCCAACATAATTAGGCATGGCATACTTTAAATCCTTAGTAAAGCATGATCAGCCAAGCTTAACCTCTGCTGTTTTCAAGTCAGCCTGCCTTAAGTACTGTAGCACTAATATAACTGCTATTCTCTTTCTTGCAAGAGAAACTAACTTAGCAAAACTAAGTACAAATTTTAAAAAATGCACGCTAGAAAATGAACTATATGGCTGCGTAAACCCTCACGAGAGGCAAGTACGGACTTGACTTAACACTGTTAGTTTAACGACAGTTCAAAGTTCTAGCGACCTTGGGGGGAAAAATGATTTACGATCTGGCCTTGTATTTACACTGCAGTTGTACATTGTTCGACCCCTGCAGTTACAAGGTCACAATTCGGGCTACTTGGCCATTGGCTCACATTTATGACCAGTTGCCGTGGTGTCCTGCGGTTGCCTGACCATGATTTGCCCCCTTCCCAGTCGGCTTCCCTGACAGAAAAGTCAGTCAAGGAAGTTGAATTTGCTTAGTGACCACGTGTTTTAGCTTAAAAAGATCTTAAAATCGGGTCCAGGGATGACTTACTTTGCAACCTCACCGACTCAGGATGGAATTATGACCCAACTGTGGTCATAACTCAAGGACGACCTCTATGGCATTGTACAAACATACTCACATTAAAAAAAACTATAAAAATATCAGAATTCCACAAATGTTTTCATCCAAACTTCTCCCTTCCTCACCTTTAAACTAGTAAGCTTACAACTCTTCCTGGCCACAAATGAGTTCTCACCCTCAGAGGAGAAAGCTTTTAATTTCATGCTAATTTAAGTTGCCCTAAAGCAGGGGTCTCCAACCTTGGCAACTTTAAGACTTATGGACTTCAATTCCCAGAATTCCTCAACCAGCAAAGCTGTGGACTTCAACTTCCAGAATTCCTCAGCCAGCTTTGCTTTGCTGGTTGAGGAATTCTGGGAGTTGAAGTCCACAAGTCTTAAAGTTGCCAAGGTTGGAGACTCCTCCCCTAAAAGACAGAGAAAAAAAAAAATCTTAGCTTCAGAAAAATGGGCTGCTTCTTTTTTGGGTAGCCCCAGCATCCTTTTCCAAAATAATATTTCTGCCCCAGGTCTAGATTTTCAGCTCCTGTGGCTGGAAAAATTATAAAATGTACCGAGTTTTGGTGTATCCAGCACACAACGATCTACATTGGAAGGGCTATCAAAATAAATGCATCGAACCATGCATAAGCAATGAGGATGCTTGACGGTCCTTCCATGCCTGGGTTTACCTCTCTATCTTTTTGTTCTTTAAATTTAAATGATGGGGAAGAGTAATTTATAACAAGTCCTCCTCTGGGAATTCCATGAAAATTTCAAAAAGTGCCCTCAATATTATACAGCAAATCTTTCCAAGAAAAAACAGCAGATTAATTAAACCATTTGAACTTTTTTGAGACCTGGGATATTTCCAGGAACATTAGAAAGTTCAAATAAAACCATTATGTGGTAGGTTTTGGTTTTTTAAAATTTTTGATAATTCACTGGCTATTATTTACTTGTCCTCACTTGTTTTCGGCATCAGCCTGTCTCCAGAAATGAAACCCGGTAAACATTTTGTTTACTTACAAACAGTTCGGCACAGTGGCAAATTCTGAAGAGTTGCTGACTGGAAAAATTTATTCATCTATTAGAAGAGCTAGGCAGGATGGAACCTGCACTCTGCTTAAGTAAGACCGAAGCCTTGGCAGAGATGTTAATCTTCAAGAAAACCCAACGCTATTCTCTAAAATCCCTTGAGCTTTCTTCCCACATACATTTATCTCCTCACACACTTCTGGGTTTTGTTTTTTTTTTCCCCCTACAGAACAAAACCAAATAAAAATCACACTGGAGTCTACACAGGGGGAGGAGACTCAAATTTGAAATGGTTGTTAAGGAAGCAGCAGCTAAGATATACCAGCAAAAGCCCTGCTATAATTTTAAAACATTCCTGGGATTTCAAACACAATCAAGCTTAAGGCAAACATCTAATTTTGCTAGGGAAAAGATCTTATTTATATCCTGTATTTCAGAAACAAATTGTTTGTGTGTGTAGGGCAAATAATAGATAGTCCTTGACTTACGGCCACAACTGAGCCCAGATTTTCCAAAATGGGATCACATGACTCCAGGACACGACAACTGTCATAAGTATGAGTCAGTTGCCAAGCAGTTGAATTTTGATCAATTGTGACCACGGGAATGCTGCAGTGTGAAAAACGGTCATAAGATAAGTCACTTTTTTCAGTGCCGTTGTAACTTCAAACGGTCACTAAATGAACTGTTGTAAGTCAAGAACTACCTGCAAATGAAATAAAAAAAAAAACTCACTGACTGCATGGAACTGATAGCCTATTTTTCTCAATTGTTGCCAACTGCATTGAAGCAAGTAGTTCTTAGAAATACCCAAATTATCTCCTCTACGCGTTGATAGAATATCATGTTGTTCCCAAATTCCAGGCAGCTAACTTAGGGCAAACATACATTTCAAGACAATTAAAGCAGAATATCCATATTTAAATGTTCAAACAAACAGAGATAGCTGTTAGCTTTCGGTCAAATGAAAAAAAGATTGTGAACATTACAGAAATAAATAAGAGGAATACAGAAAACTGCCTTACACCTGGTAATTCAGCCCAATACCATATACTTCAATTGGCAGTTGTTCTTAATGGTTGCAGATTGAGACTTTAACTTGATCTGTTTTCAATCCTTTTAAAAAAGACTGAATCTACGCTCCTAAATGGATCAAGGAATAAGCAAGGACCCAAAGAGGCAGCTCTTCATAGATAAATTGGGTTTTCACCGATAACGTACGAAGTCTCTTAAATTGTAATAGCCTTACTGCTCAGCCTGCAGTGGAAACTCTGCATGCAAAGTGTGAGAGCCAGTTTGCTCTAGTTGTTAAGGCATCAGGCTGGAAAGCTGGAAACCAGGAAACTCTGAGTTTTAATCCCATTTTAGACATAAAAGCCGGCTGGGTGATTTTGGGCCAATGACTCTAATCACAGGGCTGTTGTTGTGGGGAAAATAGGAGGAGGAGGAAGTTTTAGGTATGTTTGCCACTTTGGGTTATTCATAAAAGTGATGCAGGCGGGAAATAAATAAATAATTTCCTTATTGATGGCTAAAGGCTAAAACAAGTCTACCAGCTGAAAATTCAAGCAATAACTATTCAACTTTAGGTTCTTACTACTATATGCAGCCTTCTGAGAAACTCTACTATAAAGGTAGTTTGAAAAACGCGGTTTTGTTTTCTCAAATATTTCATTAACATCTTCCCCCAAACCTTTCAGAATCTTTCAGAATTTCAGCTTCCTTTCAGCCACTGAATTGGTGAAGTTCCAATACATTACATTTCAAGAAATCTGCTCTTCCTCATCAATTCAAATAAACATAATTAATTTAATTAATTCATTTGCCAATGGAATGTATTTCTCTGACCTCGTCGAACTCATTGAATACTTCGTTCAAAAGAGTAATAATCATGTTTACTAACGTTATAGTAACCTTATAATTTTATATCTCTGCAAGTACAGAATCTCCATTTGAAGTATGTAAATGCAATGCCAGAGCCTAAGTTGTTCTTTCTGCAGTAGCCACATTCCAATTAAGTTAAAGCTACCTGCAATAAATCTCCTCTCATTCACTAATGACTGGCAGATTTCGCTAATGAATGACAAACACACCAAGGGGAAAAAAATGCAATGACTTACGATGTCCGTTGCTGAGAAACAGACAAAGTCTTCAAAGGCGTATCACACTGCTCTGAAAGACAAGAAGGGGGGAAGGGGGGGGGAGAGAAGATTTGGGGTGATGAACATTTCTGATCTTTTGCAGTTTTCTGTTGTCTTTTCACCTTTCTCTCTCTCTCTCTCTCTGTATGACTTTTAGGATGGGGATCATTAATTCACAATATATATGACTTGGGCAATACTACAGATCTGAAAATTTTTCCATTTTTATTTTTATTCCTTGGGAGGTTAAAAAAAAAAAGAATGATACCTCCAAATGGTCTCAAAGGTACCTCCCCCCCCCCCCACTTCAAAAGGCAACTGGACTGTTTTTTTCCCTTGAGGAAGAAGAAAACGTTTGGCTTCTCATCCAAGAAGCTTCATCAGTTCTGATGGGGAGGGGAGAAAATTGTTTCTTCTTTTAAAGAAAAAAGGCCCATTAAGTCAACTATGATCTTGGATGACTGAGAATCTCCACAGACATTTACCTCCAAACAGCTTGAGGGTTTTTTTTAAAAGGAACTTTGTAACGAATTTGATTTGTCTCTGCCTCATTAACTATTATAAAGTTGGCTAAATATAAACAGACTGAAGCTAAAACAGACTAGCTTGAGAGAATGGCTGCCAATTGAAAAAGGAGTAAGAATCCATAAAGCTCTTTTCTTTTTAAAAGAGGGCAGAATTAATCCATGTTTTTTTTTTTAAACTTGATTTATATGCCGCCCTTCTCCAGAGACTCAGGGCGGCTTACAATGTGCTCAGCAATAGCCTTCATCCTTTTGTATATTTATACAAAGTCAGCTTATTGCCCCCACAAACTGGGTCCTCAATTTACCTACCTTAGAAAGGATGGAAGGCTGAGTCAACCTTGAGCCTTGGCGAGATTCGAACCTGCAGTAATTGCAGGCAGCTGGTCTTAATAACCAGCTTAATAACAGGGTGCCTTAGACCACTGTACTACCAAGGCTCTGTTCCCATCTAATATTCATTACATTGTCACCAGAGGTGGGTTTCACATATTTTACCATTGGTTTGCCATGCGCATGTGCACCTTCTGCGCGTACACCTGCCTTTAGTGCATGTGCTTTACTCGTGCATGCGCTTTCCGTGCATGCGCCCGGCCTCAAAAATATGGCTAAATAGGGCAGCATAGCACCGGGGGTGGAGGGGGTGCACCCGTGAACTCCGCTACCGGTTCGCCTGAACTGGTCCGAACCGGCTGAATACCATCTCTGATTGTCACATAAGAGACGTACAAAATGATTACATTTTAAAGGAGGATAGGTGGATGATGTTTTCTAACAGCAGTAGTAATTTCCATTATCAGAATAATCTGAAGCATCAGATTTCAATATTTCATCACTGCCCCCATCTCCATAGGCATCTTCATGCTTTTCTTTTTCACATCTTATGCAAATGTGTTAGTGACACGATAGCACATACATTTTTTAAAAAAAATGTTATTCTTTTTTTAAAGCTTGATTTTTTATTGATTAAATTGTACATCACCCAGAGAAAGATGGCGGTTTAAAAAGTGTGAAATATAAACAAACAAATAAATACATAATGAATGAATAAATAAATATGCCTTGTGACATCTAAAAGGAGTAGAGGATGGGAACTACCATTTTGTTTTTTTATAAACCAAATCCAAATATCTTAAACAATGAGTTGGAACAAGGCATTCTTCTGCAAAGGTAAAGGTTTCCCTGTCAGTTATGTCTGACTCTAGGGCAGGATGCTCATCTCTGTTTCTTAGCAAAAGTAGCCACTGTTGTCCGAAGACAATTTGCATGATCATGTGGCCAGCATGGCTAATATGCCAAAGACACTCGGAATACCTTCCCACTGAAGTGGTACCTATTTATCTACTCAATTTGCATGCTTTTGAACTGCTAGGTAGACAGGAGCTGAGCTAAGTAATGGTAGCTCATCCTGTTGCGCAGACCTCGGGTCTCAAACCCAAATTGTCAGCTCTCCTGCTGACAAGCTCAGCATCTTTAAGCTCATCTTCTATAGGCCTAACAAAATCCAGAAATCCTAGGCATTGCCACCTACCAGATGGTGAGTGGCATGTCTTTCTTTCTTTCTTTCTTTCTTTCTTTCTTTCTTTCTTTCTTTCTTTCTTTCTTTCTTTCTTTCTTTCTTTCCTCCCTCCCTCCCTCCCTCCCTCCCTCCTTCCTTCCTTCCTTCCTTTCATAGTGGTCCTTCAAAAATCTCAACAGCTGAAGCTAAACAATGTATTGCTCACATGCTGAAACTATTTCAGTTTAATTTCAAGAAAGCCGGGACTGTTTTCTGAATCTTGTAGCATGGAGATGAAGGAGGGGAGAAAATGTATGGTTGATACAAAAGAGATGGCATTTCAGGACACAGGAGTAAAATGCATTACTCTTTAGGAGATAATTAGTTAATAAGAAAAGAATTTTGAGGGACAATGACACTGACAAACCACAGTCTTAACAATCTTCTGTTAGAAATGCTGTGGAATGGATGCTCAGTGCAGAAACTTTGATCAGATGACTTCCACAGGTTCACCTCCTAAAATTTATCAGAACCAAAGACTGCTTCACTTAATCTCTAACCAAAAGCCTGAGAATCCACTCAAGCCACTCGCTTTTGTTCACGTTTCATGTTACATGAATATAAATTCTGTGTAATCTGTCAAAATGAACAAATAACAGCAGGATGCAGCCGTTTATAAGTTTAGACTGTGGTCTTTATACTTACTCTGAATTACTGATCCAGGCTGCTGGGTTTCCTAGAAAGCAGAAAAAGGGGGGATTTTTATATACAACCCAATAATTTTAGGGGTAAAGTAAACATAAGCAAACTTAAGCTAATGCCTCACTTTTCTTTTCTGTTTAGCAAGAAAAATACTGCACTATTTACATTCCTCTTTCTTCTTTATCATAATAAATATTTATTCTTTAAAGTTACCATCATCATATTATTACACTATCATTATACTGCATAGTACTTTCTATAGTACTAATGTTAACATTCTAAATGGAAAAGAATAGAAAAGAAAATAGGGAAATTATGCATTTATTTCATTTACTGTTGTCAGGCACAAGAAACCAGGAGCCAGGATAGAGTAGAGAAAGCACTGTGAGCTTATTTCAAGCAACATATACCCAAGAATATGAATTAATAACAGTCAAGGTTCCAGTTAAGAATCATGGACTTCAAAGGGGGCTAGACTTGGGTCTCTTTTGCGAGTGTGCGGACTCTAGACTGATGATGTGTTTCACCCCACCCTTGGGCTCAGCCTGGTCATCTCCTACAATTTGCACTCTATTTTGTTCACATACCGACACATACCACCAACTCTCATGATGGCTTACAAAACTAGCAGGGTAGGAACAAGAAGCACTAGAAGAAAAATGTTTTCAAATGTGAAAGAAACAGGGCAAAAATCAAACCTCTGTTAAGCAATTCCAGGATGTTATAAGTAGCTAAAAAGCACAAGCAGAATAAGAGTAGCAGTTGTGAGATTATTAATATCAAATCATGGAGCACGGTGGCTCACGTGGTTAGGATGCTAAGTTGGAGGTTAGTAAGCCCGCGTTCAAGGCCCGAGTGCTGTCCTGGGATGGGGTGAGTTCCTGTCCTTCGCTCCAGCTCCTGTCGGGGACGTGAAAGGAGCCCGCAACTGGGTGTCCTCCGGGCAACGGTGATATCACTGGTTAATTCTTTCAACTTAGAAGGTCTCAATGCTTCTGACATGAGTGCAATGCAGGGGTGGGTTCTACTTACCTTTACTACCGGTTCACATTGTGCCCACATCTGCGCATGCGCAGATCACTTATGATGACGTTTGGGTCAGTGGGTGGAGCCTCCTGCCGGTTTTACTACTGGTTCTATAGAACCAGTCCGAACCGGGGGCAACCCACCACTGGTGCAATGCAATTGACATCAAATTGCATTGCAAATTGCAAGACTCAGGAATTATGTCTTTGGGCACAATGAATAAATCTAGCATAGAGCTAATTTGTTCTGGACGCTCTACACAACTCCTAAAATAATCAGGCAAGTATGACCATAATGGGGAATTCTGGGAGTTGCATCTACTCTTGTGGAGTGTATTCCCAGGTTGTAGAAGGCTTTGGGCATTTAAGCTACATGTTAAACAAAACAATGATGCCAAAAACATAAACATAACGAATATTTACATGCGCACAGAGATTAGTTCAAAGCAACAGTTGCATGAAAGAAACTATCTTTTTATGATTGTTTGTTTTGTCCTGCAAACTTTTCCTCTCTGCTAGAAACAACACATGCTAAAAGGAGTTGAATGACATACATTAATTCACATAGATGGAATGAAAAGATTTTGTTTCTTCACCTTTACAGGAAATGGAAACTTTGAAGGCTCAGCTGTGCTAGGAGTATGGATAGCTGTCAAAGGAGGTGGCCATGAATGGGTCATTTCCTGACAAGAAATTGAGAAGAACAATAATCAGCTCTTAATTCCTAACTTTATTACTTCCTCAGATGCAAAAAAGAATAAGAAAACCTTCCAACAGTAACATGGGGATGTAACTGAAACATTTTTTTTCTAGGCTTTTGCAACCTAGAGTTGGAAGTGAACTTTGAAATTATCATCAAAACAGTCAGACCTTTGATTCCTTAATATTTGAACACTCTGCATTCCGAGGAATGCATGCTATCCTCTTCTCCTGTCACATTCCTTTATCTTCTATTTCCTCTCTACAGTTTTGAATGTGATAAATAATAGCAATGTGTGGGGGCAGCATTAAAAGAGAAGGAATATCACAATACGCATAGGAAACCCAATCCAAATTCTACCCCTCCTTTTCTTTTTTCTGAATTTAGTTTATACTATCTTTTAGTATTGAAAAACTCTTCAATCAAAAGTATTTTTAAAAAAAAAAGGAAACCCAATCAAAAAAGTGTTATTCGGATTCCCAATTTGTGTTTCTTCCAACAAGCCAAAGTTTGAAGCAAAACTGTCTTTGGGATTCTTGCTTTATTAAAGATAAAACAAACCACACATTGGATTCCCTTATAAATTTAAGCTTGGATAGGAAGTTCTTGGTCATCTGTGCTAAGATGAGGAGCCCAGCAGGACACAAGAATGCTTTTTTTGTAACCAATAAGCCAAAATTTCAGAGAATGATAGCTCATCCGCTTGGATAAACACAAGACAATGTGTTGTTTGTAGTCCTTCTATTTTTTTTTTTTTGGCCTAAAACCAGAAATTATTTAAAACATTCAAGATGATATTCTGCTTGAAGCCTACTGATTACGTTCTGCAGCAAAGAAACATGAATAGCATTATAGTGGGGAGGGGGTAGTTTTTTAAAAAAAAAAAAACCATGAAATTAGCACTGCTTCCTTTATGGCATCTTTTTCCTCTTAATGCGAATATACTCACCTTCAAAATTTCTTCAACACAATGGGCTTCATTGGAGTAAGACTGCTGAAAAACATAAAGAAAGGAATTGTAAATCCATGAATTAGGAGTACATTCATGTACAGAAAGATAAATCACAATACAAAGATTTGATTTACAATATCTATTGCAAGAGAAAACAGGAGTGATGAATGTTGGTATGAAAATTTTCTCTCCCTACTTTTTGGGTTAAAAGGAGATTCCACCCCCCCTTTCAGTTCAACTATACAGCAAAACCTGATTAAAGACTACAGATGATAGAGCTAAGCCCAACAGTGAGCAACAAGCGATTGTGCTATTTAACTGGCTGAAGTTGTGGTAGTTACCTTAACCTTAACTAATAGGAATTCCTGCATGGAGGTGAGTTATTTCATCTGCAAATCAAACCTGAGCTTCATGCCTTAAGAAGGAATTTCTCACACCATGCCATCACTGTCGTGAACTATTTTTGCTGCTGCCTGGAAAGCACACAATATATTCACCACAGGAAGCTGCTCTCTTGAGAAATAGGTCTAGTAACTGCCATTAGAGGCTATTCTCCAAAGAATAATCCCGCTTCAACTATAGCTGAAGCGGTGTTTTTTTTCCCCCCCGCTCTGTTTCTTTCAAGACTGATGCCACACCCCATCACTGCTCTGAATGCTCAGAAATTCACCTCCGTCCATTACACACATGCTTAAATGCTCCAGCCTTCAGAGGGAAGTAATTTTCATCTATAGTACTGAGAATAAGGCAAGTCTCGGCATGATTCCAGCATATTATTCCAACATGTTTTAGCTTCCAACAGTGAATTAGAGCCAAGCTTCTTCAAACAGAAGGCAAGTGCTTAAGACAACTGCTTAAAATTAAAGGGGGGGGGGAATCTTTAAGAAATAACATTCATAATTAAGCACTGTATAAAGTACCAGAGTAATCTAACAACAACGAGAAATCTAAAACCAAAATGTTGGTGAGAAATTTGTGAACCAATATGAACATTTCGAGGAGTCCTCCCACATCTTTCGTCTGATCTCTCTCATCTCCTCCACGGTTCAACTACAACAACTACAGTAAGGTAAAGGTTCCCCTCACACATATGTGCTAGTCGTTCCCGACTCTAGAGGGCGGTGCTCATCTCCGTTTCAAAGCCAAAGAGCCAGCGCTGTCCGAAGACGTCTCCGTGGTCATGTGGCCACGGAACGCTGCTACCTTCCCACCAAAGGTGGTCCCTATTTTTCTACCTGCATTTTTTACGTGCTTTCGAACTGCTAGGTTAGCAGAAGCTGGGACAAGTAACGGGAGCTCACCCCGTTACGCGGCACTAGGGATTCAAACTGCTGAACTGCCGACCAAGCTCAACATCTTAGCCACTGAGCCACCGTGTCCCTCCAGCAACTACAGTACAACCCTTAATTTGCTGGACTGTGTAGAGAGATTCCTCAGCCCACATCCCAACACACAAACTCTGCACCTTTCATCCTTACATTCTTCCTATCTTCATCCTTTTCGTTTTCTTATCATTCTGGGCATTTATTTATCAAAAATTATTAATGAAAGCATTCCATGTCTATGCACCAGGTCAGCCATTCTAGGAAAGTTCTCCCCAGTGACCAGTCTTTTTTTATTTTGCAACCCAAACTCAAATGGGATACATTGTTTTGTCTTTTTGGTAATTTTTTTTTAGTAATTGTACATCTTTCCATCTTTTAGCAGCTATCAATGCACATGAAGGTCCTTCTGTAACTAAATGTTTTCCAATGGCTGAAACCAAAGTTAAGTTGTAGGACTGATTCACAAATTTTACAGTAGATTAAGACTTCCCAGCAGATTGTAAGCAACTTGAAGGGGATCACATCGTTGCCTTAGAACTCAAACTTGGGTTTTTGAGTATTACTCATCTAATGAAATAATTTGCTTTACTGGGAGGGGAGCACAGAAGTTCATCAGTTTAGGGGTCAGAATATCACAATATTTGAGAATCACAGGGCTATAATTTTAGAGAAAGCATGCATTGTTTTCTGCATCTTAACCAAATTGCATAGCGGATAGATTTATATTCAAACAAAGATCCACTGTGTTTATGAGCCAGTGTGTGGAAGGCAGGATGCTCAAAATACGTCTTTGATCAAGGCAAGATTATACTTACTGCATCATATTATATTCGACTCTTGCAAGGAACTGCAAGCTTAGTTAAGCTACATGAGGGGCATATTCATCCCAAGATCTATTTTACAACCCCTTACCTCCCCTAAAGTGAGATGTATGCTTCCTCAGAGCTTTCATTTTTGTTAGGAAAGGTTATAAAGAAGAATAGTTGATTTGATATAGTCTCTCTAATTTCCAAACATCATAACTGCAAATAGCCAGGAACCATTAAAAAAAAAAAAAAAAGGAAAGAAGACTTGGCTAGAAGGATGGAATGCTGTCCTTTGCATGTCGATTTAACAATCAGAAATAATATTTTCAGGAAGTTTCCTCTCTGCTATGGTTTTTAGAAAACTAGTGAGGATATAGTTTTGCTCAGATAGAAATGGGTGTATATTAATTATGGTTTCTCGTAATTTTTCCTCATTATCCGAGCCCTGAATTAAAGTGGATGGTGTTTTTTTTTCAAATCAGATAAAGAAAATCAAGAAACAACTTATTACTGTATAACATTAATCCGAATTTCTGTCTAGACTGGGAGATACAAGTCCTTGCTTAACAGCACTCAGCATGGGGCAAGTTCTCATCTAATGGCAAGATTCAAACGAATGGCTACCCTACCCAGCTAACATTCACGGTGTCAACTATACCTCCCGCAATTCTCACTATATTACAAAGTGCTCTTGAACAAATAGCAAGTCTTTCCTTTTGCTCTTCATTGAGTACAGCAAACACACCAGGGCTATTTATAACACCCATAAAGCAGTAACACCTTCTGGGTTCAAAACACTTTCGTTTTACCAGAGACCGAAACCTGAGGCTCGGAAAGGAAACCGGTTCAAGATATTGCTTGTATGATTTTTATGACCCAATCCTGAAAGGTTTTATTCCTAGTCAATGTATTCATTTTCTCCTTTTTTATTAACTTGCCGAACCAGTCAATAAAGAAAAGGAGCTTGCTTTCATGCCCGTTAGGTACGTGAAACAGGCAAAAGGACGGCCATTACGAAACACTGTGAAGTGCACACAAAATGTTTCACAAGAACTTCTTCTGGCCGCTAGACTAAATGTAAATTTAATTTAACTTAATTTAATTTAATTTAATTTAACTTATTGCATTTCTATGGCGCCCAACTCCCGAGGGACTCTGGGCGGCTTACAGCAAAAATAATGTAAACATATCATATTTTCTCTTCCAACATGGTGGACTCCGATTTCTACACTGAAAGAGGAGCCTCTTTGGAAGAAGATGGCAGGCCACATCGTTCATAGGCGTAAACAATTAAAACTTGTGTTGTCATATAATCAGGCATGAGTCACTTAACGTCTGCCTTGCTTAGCAATGGAAATTCTGGTCCCAGTTGTGGTTGTAAGACGAGGAACACTTGTCCATACTATTAGCAATATATAATGAAACAAAACTGTCAGACTACACAGTACACTTTATGATCAGAGATGGTATTCATCAGGTTCTGACCAGTTCTGGAGAAACGGTAGCAGAAATTTTGGGTAGTTTGGAGAACCGGTAAATACCACCTCTGACTGGCCTCGCCCCATCTATTCTCTGCCTCCTGAGTCTCAGTTGATCGGGAGGAAATGGGGATTTTGCAGTAACGTTCCCCTAGAGTGGGGAGGGAATCGAGATTTTACAGTATCCTTCCTTTGCCACACCCACCAAGCGACGCCACGCCCACAGAACCAGTAGTAAAAAATTTTGAATCCCACCACTGTTTATGATCCAACCTGAAGCTGAAGCCAACTGCAGATAGAAAAACATTTTTATGGAAACTGGAGAATACTAAATGGAAGGAGAAAATGTGCTCTCTCAGTTCCTTCTTTAAACATTTTTAATTTATATGCTGCTGCATTTTCAAAAACAAAAGCCCTGCTCCTGATACGTTCTGAGGCCAACCTTTTTTCCTTATTCTGCTTTGAGGAGGCATTTGTGTCCACAAACCCATCCTTTATACTTTCATCTGCAGAAGTTTCCATTGTCACCACAATTCTCTTGCTTTTGTACATATGGTTAAATGTGTCTTCGGTTTCGTCTATTCCGTTTTAAAAAGGAAACTACACTCCAACATTTTTTCAGTTTCCACATCAGGAAAAAAAAAACCTCTAAAGTAAGGGTGGGGAACTACAGGCCCTTTTATGATTTGTGAACTTCAACTCCCAGAATTCCTGAGGCAGACATGTTGGCTTAGGAATTAAAAAGTCCATAAGTCGTAAAGGGGCCATATAGTTCCACACCTCTACTCTGAAAGTACATTTTCTGGTTTTCCAGTGAGAGAATTTGCGTGCACAATGCCCACTATCAACACCTTTTCTTAAACTATATCACAGTGTGCACAGATTTTAATTGTGTACGTGGTCAGTCTGCTACAAGGGAACCTTAGCATTTATCTGCTAAACCACAAGTCAGCAATAAATCCTCTGGATGGCCTTTAGCTCGGTTGCTCGCTCTCTCAGCCTCAATTTGTACTTGGTAAAATGAGAACAAGAGTCACCTTCCTCTCTGAATCAGCAAGCAAGCAATATATATCAGCCAAGACAATTGCTCTGCAAATTATTAATAATAATCTTTTTTCATAAGTGCATCAAAATGGTTTTAGGCATTTTGGAGTTAAGTGCATCCCAATTAGAATTATAAAATAATATAAGCCAATCTGAAGGGACTCAGATAGAAGACGACTTAGGTTGAAGAAATTGTGCGAGATAAGAAAATGTCTGATAATGTTCTGATATTTTCTTAAAGTTCCTCAGCACATCGAAAGGCCATTGCAGGTCACGGAGGCCAAGTTGGCAGAGCGATCAGTCTGTGATTATTTTTTTTTTAATGAAATTCCAATTGTAATTTTGATTCCCTTGGAAAATCCTTTGCAACAGTTGGGATTTCAAATCTA